TCGCCGACAAAATTTGTTCATTTTCAACTCAGCGCTGGAACGATTGTTCACACTCGTATCACAGCCCCCACACGCTGAAATAAGGTCGCGCCTAAGTCTCGCTCGGACACGAGATAGGGCTATTGAAACATCTTGGTGGTAGAGGATCTTTGATAATATTACAACGCTGCATTTCTATTTTTAGTTACTTTGTCACCGGCATTTCGATGAATAATAATAAAGGGCGATAGATCTAGTCAACTGGCGAGGGAAGCCCCGGAGAAAGTTGCATTTGAAAATGGCAAAAGTTGCAAAAAGTCGCAAGGAAAATATGCAAACGTTGTGCAAAAGTTGCGCTGATGGCAAAAGTAGCGCGCAAGTTGAGGGTTGCGGGCGAGAACAGAAAAACAGATGGCGGAAATACGTCATCTTTATTTGGGCCAATCACAGAGGTGTGATGTGTGCTCTCTCTAGGTAAAAAATTAGCTGAAAGATCGTTCGCCCACCTTGCTCCGTCAGTTTGGAACTCTCTTCCCCAACCCTTACGACATACAACATCTGAGTCTAAATTCTAAAAATCTTTAAAGAACTATATTTAATGACATCCTTTTTATGTCAGTAGATTCATGTTCAACACAATGTTATGTAAATGACTATGTATCCGTTTATGTATTTTGTGAATTGCATTGTGTAATTTTATGTTCATTTCGTGACGATGTATAAGCGTGTGCGTGTGATAAGCAAGTAGATTTGTGTGTGTGTGTGTGTGTGTGTTTGTGTGTGTGTGTGTGTGTGTGTGTGTTCGTGAGTGTGCATGTGTGTGTTTGTGTGTGTATGTGTATATGTGTGTGTGTTTGTGTGTGTGTGTGTGTGTGTGTGTGTATGAGTGTGTGCATTTGTGTGTGTGTGTGCGTCGCGTGCGTGAATATTGTTCTTACATGCATTTGTGAAAAGCGCCTAGAGCTGTGTTTACACAGGAGTGAACGCTATAGAAATAATGTTCATCATCATCATCATCATCTTCATATCGCTCGGAAAGCTACGAAGTCATGTTTTCGCAACTTTTACTAGATCTATCACCATCGAAGGATAATCGCTGAAACAAGTCAGCGAGTTTAAGCCTCTTGGTAGAATATTTTCGGAAGACGGACAGAGAAATTGAGACAACAGTACAAAAGGCTAAAATCTTCAGCTACCAGCTTGCCCCAATCCCCAGACATCCTAACGTCCCACTGAGACCAAAACAAAGCTCCATTCATGTTTCTCTTTTCTGTAGTAGGCCTAGGCTAGGCTAGTTACATTACATCTACAGTATAGCATCTTAGCTTATCACATGCAACACCAAGCTGGACACGGGACGCCATGTTGTCTAAAAATAGCCACGGAAAGCCCAATTTTTAGGCTCAAGGTCACTAGAGATGTGGCTGACGATTCGGAATGTGGCTGTGGGTTGATGAATCGGAAATGCACATCGCCGTGCTGGGATTGTCTGCCGATGACTGAGGCAAATAAATTTTTTTTCACAGATTGGCGACAGTGACACGGTCGGTCCGCTCTCTGCTTTCACTCATTTCGGGCATTCAATTTATCGGATGTCCCCATGAAACCGGATCATTTTATCCACTAATGCTTTTACATAAACAAATAGCGTTTCAATCAAGACCACAGAATATTGTTCACTTTACCCAATTGTTCAAATAAAGCGTGTTCACTTTAGTCGGACTCCATTGTGTATACAAATATATCTATTATATTATAATATATATGTATATACATAATATATATATATATATATAATATTATGTATTATACATATGTGAGGCAGCGTGGTGGAATCAGGCTCTCGTCAAAATAATCAAAGTGAAAAAACTTGCATTTTTCCTCCACCCCCAGTGGGTTGGGGGGATATAAATAGACCCACTGCTCCGCCAGCAGGAGGTGCAACCCCTTCACTGGCGATTTGTCGCCCATGGACATCTACGCTCAGATGCACATGGGCGACACTTGC